GACAAGGGCCTAAACCAGAGTTAGAACACGTTATACTCAAAGGAGTAGATGCCAGAAACGTTAAAAGGATGTAATAGACTTAGATGAATGAAGGAATATGGGGATGAGGAAAAAGGAAGTCAAAAATGCCTTTGGGCTTTCTGAGTGGGGCTGAAGGTGATGATGTTCATAGATTTCAAATGCTGTGGGAAAGTCAGTATGGGCTGAGTTCTGAAATGACTTTTTTTTTTTTTTTAAGATTTTATTTATTTGACAGAGACACAGCAAGAGAGGGAACACAAGCAGGGAGAGTGGGAGAGGGAGAGGGAGAAGCAGGCTTCCCGCCGAGCAGGGAACCTGATGCGGGGCTTGATCCCAGGACCCTGGGATCATGACCTGAGCCGAAGGCAGATGCTTAACCATCTGAGCCACCCAGGTGCCCCCTGAAATGACTTTTGACAATCAGAGGTCACTGGTGCAGAAGTTGCAGTTTTAATGAGTTGCTGAGAATGGAGGCTAGATGGCATGGGGGCCAGACAGTGGCTCTGACACCTAGTGACCCCTTATAGTTGGGTGACTGCTGTGAAAACAGTATTTCACTATTTTAGAGGCTATATTACATACTTAAAATTTTCCATGGTGTGAGCTCCTTAGAGCCATCTTGAACTTTTGCTGTCAATTTGTTCTGTGGATTTGCAAGAGGGGCTGAGGGGAGTGGAAGAATAGACAGAAAGAGGGTACTTCTTACTTCTTACACTTCTTTTGACTCTTCCCATTTCTGACATAAGAAGAAAATGCTCAGATATTCAGGTAAATAATTTTTTAAAAATAATGCTGTAAGTACATATCATTAAAAATATCAAATAATTCATGAGGCTATAAAATGAGAAATGAAAGTCCACACTTCCCACCTTTTCCATTTCCCAGAAGTTACCCTAAGGTAAGTAATTATTTTTTTCTCTCTCCTTTCCAAGATTTTTAATGTATTGCAGATATTTGGAGTGTTTATTTGCAGTATATTTTGGAGAGAGCACCATAAGAACACATGTAGATTTACCGCTTAAAAAGGCGTGTATTTTTCAACTTTAAAATTTTACTTTTTAAAATGAAAGTAATGTGTGTATATGGCTAGAAATTTAGATAGTATAGAAAAATATAAAAGCTAAGTGCTTTCCCTTCTGCCTTCACTCTCATTCCTAGTCCTCTAATGTAGTCACTATTAAGTTTCTTTCATGAGTACTAAAAGAATACTTTTAGTACTTATATGTCTCTATACATTCTTGAAAATATTTGTATGTTGTCATATTTATTCATAAATATTTGTTGACAAAATTAAATGTTGAAATAAATTTTTAAAACTTCATTTAACAGATGGGCAGTTAAGCTAAAAGGCAGTAGCTAGCCCCAATTCAGTACCAGCAGATTGTTGTCATTATGTAAGAACATGGGTTCCATGAAATCAGACTTTCCTATTTTTTAAAAGATGCTAAAAATATACAATTTTTATGTGAAACCTTCCAATTTTAAGTTTTTCAAATAAAAAAATGTTTATTTAGAGCACTACCTGCCAGGTGCTGGGATATAGCAGTGAATCAAACTTAGGTTCTAGTGGCAAGAGGAAGACAATGAGCAAATGAATAGTATATGCCAGGTGGTGGTAAGTGCTATGAAGACAAATAAGGCAGGGCAAGGAAGAGAGAGCAAGTGTTATTTTACATGGATGATCATGGAAGACCTCTTTGGAAAGGTGACATCTGAGCAAAGATTTGAAGGAAGTGAGGGACAAAGCCATGTAGATGACTAGGGGACTCATGCTAGGCAGAGGGAATAGCAAGTATGAAGATCCTGAGATGGGAAAGAATTGGGCATGTTCAAGGAGCAGCAAATACACTAATGTGGCTGAAGCAAGCAAGGGTCTGGAAAGAAGCAGATGGGTCTGGAAAGTTGGGGAGATTGTGTGCAGATCATGTAAGGTCTTTTAGGCTGTAATAGTGACCTTAGAAATGACCCCAAATGAAATGGAAGGCCATTGGAAGGTTTTCAGGGGATTGAAATGATCACACTTGATTTTGAAAAGTCTCACTCTAGCTTCTGCCTGGAGAATAGAACCAGGGCTCCAATTAGGAAGCTGTGGTTAAAAGTCCAGGTGATAGATGATGGCTGTTGGCCCGGGGTAGAGTTGTGAAGGTAGAGAGAATAATTCAGTTTCTGGATATATTTTGAAAAAAGAGCTAACAAGGTTTGCAGATTTATTTTTTAATTTTAATTTTATTGTTTTTAATGTGCAATGTGAAAAGAAATGAGGAGACTCTAAGGACTGGGGCCTGAGTAAATGAATGGTCCAATGGAGTTTCCATTTACTGAGATGGGGATGACTGTAGGAGAAACAAGTCATTCACCTTTACTTTGGTTAAAATCCTTTTTACCACCTTGTAAAAACTTAAAACGTTATGGATAAACATTATTGATAACTTTATGATTGGGACTAATGGTCCTTTACCCATTTTTCCAGTGCTGGTTCTCTGTTAATTCTCTTAGCCCCAAAGTAATTGTTATCATTTTGATGCGTGTGCACGTACATGTTTGCATGTCTGTTTCCTTCTAGAACCTTTTTTTTCCTGTTTTAAAATATACATTATAGCCACAGGAAATATAACTGGTATTTTTATATAAATATTTCATACCAAAAATACTGTTCTACAGCATACTTTTTTCAGTTACCAGTATGATCTATTAGATTACCTCATTCTTTTTAATCTCCTTTATAGTATTTCATAGGTTGAATATACCATCATTTTTCTATTATAAATATTAAGATTTTCTAACAAGTAATGCTTCAATAAATATCCTTATATACATGTACAAGTGTTTCTGTAGGTTAGGTATCTAAAAATGAAATTGTAATGTTGAAGGGTATGTGAATTTAAAATTTTAGTAGGTGCTACCAAAAACCCTGTAAGTTGTAGAAACATGTCAGCTGTCTATGAAATTGTTTCTGCATACCCACTGTAACAGGAACATACAGGTAAGAAGTAAAAAAGCAAAAAAACAAAACAACAACTTGAAAAAATACTAATTTATTATTATGATTTGGAAAATTAGTTTTTTTATGTGGGAGTGAGGAAGTCTTCACTTTTCTATACCTTGTTTTGGTGGTGTTTGACATGCCTCTTCTGCAAATCAGGTATTTTGAGAATTATTAGAATAATAATTATGACTGGGCTTTACAAAATATATAGAAGCTTATATGCTGACTTTGAGTTACAATTTTGTTTCTAAATCGTTTAGTGGAAAGAGCTGTTAATGGAACATTGTTGTCTCAAGCAACTTGTAAGCTCTGTGATGAAAATGAAAACTCTTTTACGGTAGCAAATGCTTTAGGAAACAGGTAAGCCGTGTGCTGGGTGCTGACTTTTTAAATATCATTTTACATTTATATGGACTCTGTACCTTTTGAAAATACTTGCTATGATATCACTTTTCATCACAGTAACCCAAAGAAGGATAGAAGTAGACATTAACATAAAGAAGCTGAAGCCCAGAGAATGAGACTGATTAGAGGTCAAAGCTTGTCTCATTCTCTTATCAGTTGTTTGACCTTGGCAAGCATAGTCAGTCAGTCTTCTTGTCTTTAGAATGGAGATATACCACCCACTTCATAGGCTTTTTTCACAGCTCAGAAATGGATATGCAAATTCTTAGCATAGTGCTCTAGAGTAAATGCTCAGTAAAAGGTAGCTGTTTTTGTTTGTTATTATGTAATTTGTACATAATCTATAATATATATAGCATATAAATATTAACTTCTATTCATAGCATACTTACTATGTGCCAGGAACTGTGCTTTATAATAAAGTTATATAAAAAACATTCATAAGTAAATGATAATTATAGTAACCCAAGAACCCTGATGTATAGCCCTATTCTCTGTCACTTCCTGTTTCCCCTTCATGTGTGCATACATGCACACCACATACACACACGCGCACACACACACACACACCCCTGCCTCTCTCTAATTCAAACGGAGTATCCCTATTTCAACTTCTTCAGATTTTTTTTTGAGGGCTACATGGTGACTTCCCTCTAAGCACAGTTGTCTCTTCATTTCCCAAGTTTAAAATAGAAAATACTTGAATAGCTTCTCCTGGGGGTACTTAGTATTGGATCACTACTTCTCTTAAGCTGATGTGGGTTGTAGTGTCCAAATATTGACTACTGGGCTGGTCCTCAAGCCTCCCTTTCCAGTACTGCCTCGAGCCTAGTTCTGTGCCATGCCCCATCCCCTACCTGTTCTATCTTACAAGTAATGAATACAACAAACTCTTCAGTGTCCCCACTACTCTGGTGGATGCTCTTCCTCCCTGTATATCATACATTAATGAAAAATGTATTTTCCTAAAATAAATAAGGATAATGAATAGACTTTATAAGTGTTTGTTGTAGGTTTGATGAAGGGATAGATACACATATCTTTTTCAGCATATGTTTCCTTTTTGCTTTGTGACAGACAAAATAAAGTAGATTTAATATAACTACATATGAAAACAGATTGGGTTTAATTTATATGAGTTTTTTGGGCTCTTAATTGAGTGACTTAATCATCTCTGCTATTCAATATTATTTATGCTACACTCTCCATGTAGTTTCAAAAGAATGCTCTCCTATTATTGGTTAATTTTATTTATTTATTTATTTATACCTTGCTTTGTAATAGAAGGAGTGGTATAAAACTAATCAAATCAGTGTTAATATTTTTAATTTGTTTACTTTACTACAAGTAATTACTTAGCTGAATGAATCTATTATAATTCAGCATTTAGGAAGACAAATGTTTGATGAAATTAGGTCTAGCATAATTCATTGACATTTAAAAATTTTTTTGTTATGTTGACAGATGTATCCGATGTGAACCAACATTCATCAATACCAGCAGGTCCTGTACATGTTCAGCACCAAACATTTTAGTAAGGCTAATCAAATTAATAAAGTATATATTTTAAAATTAAGTTGCTCATACCTTTCCATAAACTGTTTATTTTTTATTTTTTTTATTTATGAAGACAGGGGGATTATGTTTCAGCAGCACAGGGAATTTTCCTTCACGTGTAATTTCATCTGCCCGTTACGGAGATCTTGTGAGTATGTTTCAGTTTTTTTGTTCCATTCTTGTTGCATTACTTCCTTTGCTCATTAGTCCGGGACTAAAATGAGAAACAGTTCTGTGTAAGTCATTTTAAAACAGAAATTATCAATCTGAGAAACATTAACAACTCAACATTATTATTTATAAGTAGAGTTACTCTCTTCTCTACCTTGGCTCATCCTTTTTCAGTGATCTCCGAATGTTTAAACTGAAAAGTTCTTTTATAGATCCTATAAAGAAGCAGTGTTGTGTGTTAAGAACACCAGAGACTCTTGACTTGAACCCTGGATTTGCCAGTCATTAATTATATATCCCTGGACTTACTTAATATTTTTAAACTTCAATTTTATTGTCTGTACATTGGGCATAGTAATAATACTTACCTCATAAATGCCCGTACATGGTAATCACTGGAGAAACAAGGGTTATTCGTACCTGGCCAGGTTCCTTATTTTGTAGTTGAGAGCATGGAGGCCTAGGGTTAGAGCCTTTGCAACAGATGCTGGTCTGACAATGTCTGCTATGTAAAATGGTAAGAAAGTGGATGAATTGGAACTGAAGAGATCATGAGTCCAAGGGAGTAGGAGCTAGATGACTGACTAGAAGTTGGTTAATGAGCATTGAAAATACCCAGTATGCCAACAGAGCTTGGGGTGGACAGGCTAGGATCTGGTTGCTCATATCATCCTTAGATCAGTGGGAGTGATTAGGAGGAATTGGAGGACAACCATTATTCTTGGCGAATAAAGCAAAAATTCCTCTTCTCCAGTATTGTCTTATTGGTGTGATAGGCAAGTACCAAATGTTTGCAAAACAACAAAATAAATACTAAGATAGGGATATAGATATGGAGCTCTGAGATCACCCCAAAATTAGTTCCTTAGCAATAAGATGGATATCTTCTGGAGTGTTCTTCCCCAGTCTCAGGTTATAGTGACCTTCTGTATATCATTGTCAAACTTGCAGGCCTTTATTTTTATTTTTTCTTCTTTTTTCCTTTTTAAAATAATTCTGCCAAAAGTACCAATAAATTTTTTTTTCCTCTTTGGTGTCAGATTAGTCATATAGAGCTCCCATCTCTTTCAGTCTCTGATCTGGAACAGGTCCTTAGTCTTCTCATGACTTTCGTGAACTCAACAGCTTTGAAGGTTATAGGCCTTACAGTCTATAGGATGACCCTTGACTGGGTGCATCCAGTTTTTCCTCATAATCAGGACATGCTTGGCAGGAAACCACAAAAAAGATGTCTTGCTTTTCTCAGTGCATTGTACCATAACAGAAAGCATGCAACATTCATATGTCCAACACTGGTGATGTTAACTTTGATCACCTGCTATGAAGTCACCATGTGTGCTATAAGGGTGCCATTTTTCCCTTTGTAATTGATTAGTATTTTGTGAGGAGAATTTTCAAGATTATGCTTCGTCTTCACCAAACATTAACAATAAGTAACAATAAGCTTTAGTCTCCATCGGTGATGCTTGCCTTTATCAACCACTACTATGAGGTTGCCAAATGTTTACATCGTTCTTTCTACATTTATTAATTAACCTTCTACTGTAAGGAAGAATTTCCCCTTCTTCCCATTTATGTATTTGTTTATTAATGTCAGTATAGATTAGTGGGTTCCTATTTTATTCAGTTGGTTATAATCCAATAGATGCATTATTTGTTTTGATGTTCAAATTGTCCTAGATTTAGCCATTGAAGCCCCTTCAAGATGGCTCCTATACCTTTTTGATATGTCTCCATCATTTGTTGAGGATTTCTTTCCTTTCTGGCACAAGGAGATTTCCAGGTTCATCTTGTACTTTTCCTACCTCATTCCGGGAATCAGCCATTTCTCTAAGAATTTGTGGAGGATAATATTTAGAAACCAAGATTACCACACTTAGTATACCCTTTTAGGAGACATAGCTAGAATATATATACACACACACACTTACATACATATACATATCTATAACTATTTCCTTATTTTGTATATATATATATTGAAGTAAATGAGTTCATACTGATGCTTTCAATTCTAAAGCAGTTCCTCAGTGTTCCTTCTAACCTTTCCTTTTGACAGATTTTCAGTACCTTCTCCAGTAGTGAGAAATCTGGGTCTCATCCTCACTTAACTCGTTTGCTCAGTATAACAGTCTTTGAACCGTGCTGCTCCCTTCCATACCACCTCCACATCCTCCCTTCTTCACACCACTGTGCAGTAGATCCATTGCAGACTTCTCTGTTAAGGAAAGGTGGGCAGAGAAAGGCAATTCCGTTCTTAATCTGATTCAATTAATGCACTTCATTTAAACATATCAGTCTTCGACACTGATGCTTTCCTAAGGACAAGTTTAGAAACCTTGATTTTAAGTCATTTTATAACGAGTGTTGAGACAGGTTCTGTGTAGTTGTATGAGACATGAAAACAAATGTAGTTAAGATTGTGTGACTATCTTGGCCCAGTCCTCTGTCTGACAGGTATAAGAACTCAGTTTTAGCAATGTACCTGGAGGTCAGTCAGGGCTAAGGGACCAGTTCAAAAAAATTAAACCCGCAAGAGACTAGATGGATTGATAAATCAGAATTCATGTTTATTACTTTATGTTGACACTGTAATTGGCAGCTAAACTAAACTACTTGTATTAACTTGAAAATTTACACTTTTCCTAATTGGAAAACATGACATATCAAATGTTTTCTTGAACAATACAGAATTGGAACATAATTAATTTTGTATAATTTTTTGAGAGGCATTTATACTTGCCAATCAGTAAAGAATTTCTGTATACATGAGTTAGTGTCTTCCCATTAACTTTCCCCAAAGATAGTAATAGTGATCTAGCATCTTGATTTTATGTTTTTCTCAACTTTTATTTATTTATTTATGTATTTATGTATTTATTTATTTATTTATTTGACAGAGAGAGACAGCAAGAGCAGGAACACAAGCAGGGGAGTGGAAGAGGGAGAAGCAGGCTTTCCACCGAGCAGGGAGCCTGTTGCGGGGCTCAATCCCAGGACCCTGGAGTCATGACCTGAGCCGAAGGCAGACGCTTAATGACTGAGCCACCCAGGCATCCCCTCAACTTTTATTTTGAAAATTTCAAAATTAGGAGCACCTCAGTGGCTCAGTCGG